AGGCACTTCAGATTCTTAGACCTTAGGTCGAGTGCCATAACTATCTTTAGAAATCTCATATTGGTACCACCTTTGCGTTTTGTCAAATCTGCAGTGAAAGTGTTCTTAAAAGAAACAACATATGCTGGGTCATTAGCCAAACCTGCTATAACATGAAATATATGGCAGAACGCGGGTAAAACAGAGCAGGAGACATCCAATTCTTCCCCAAAGAGTTCAGTCACAAATTTAATTAATGCATTTTTTTTAAACGAGCATCATCAGCATGGAAACATGTCCTCTGGAATGGTGGCCGAAGCATGCAGGGGCATACGAATGTTTTAACATGTAAATAACTTGCAAGGCTCGCTACAAAAGTGCCTTGTGGACGCCTGTTCTCACTTTCAGGTGACGTAAATAATCAGGCAGCATTATGTCCCGTATATGTAAACAAACTTTTGTCTTCATGATTGGCTGAACTAGAAGTAGGACTGAGTGGACTTGTAGGCACTAAAGTTTTACATTGTTTTGTTTTTGAGTGAAGTTATGTAACAAAAATTCTACATTTGTAACTTGCACTTTCATGATAAAGAGATTGCACTACAGTACTTGCATTAGGTGAATTTAAAAATACTATTTATTTTGTTTATCATTTTTAGAGTGCAAATATTAGTAATAAAAATAATATAAAGTGAACACTGTACACTTTCTATTCTGTGTTGTAATTGAAAACAATATATTTGAAAATGTAGAAAAACATCCAAAAATATTTAATAAATGTAACTTAAACCTATTGCTTAACAGTGTGATTAATACTGCGATTACTTTTTTAAAATCGCGATTAATTTTTTTGACTTAATCGTGAGAGTTAACTGCGATTAATTGACAGCCCTATTTATAAGTTCTCTACAGTTCTTTCTATGCAAACCTACTTTATTCTTAAGGTAAAAAGCATTATAGAGAAAACATTAAAAATAATAAAGACACCTACACAACTCTAACATGGAGTCTGGCAGGCACAGAACTTCCAACCCTACCCTAAGGATTGGAGCTTTCCGTGGACCAGGCGTCCTGTCCATTTGCTGGATCAGGAAGAAGCCCATGAGCCAGTTTAAAAAACAGGCTATTTGTCCCCAAACCCTTTCTTTGTTGGTCCTAGTTTAAACAACTGTATGCATATCTCTCTGGGTGGGTGGCTTCGACGGGCTGATAATGGAGGAAAGTACATTAGCATCCCTGCTAGAGAAGGTACATACAATGTCCTAACAACACATATATAATTACATTTTTAGTACAATGTTCCCCAAAGGTATTAACTGTAATTCAGTGAGGTTTAACTTAATTTAGTAAATTTCATCTTAATTCCATAAGGTTTGTTCAGGATAATGTAGGATATTGTCACATCTATCACTGTCACATCTATTTCAGTTTATTGTCTCTTAGTAGAAGTCTCTTAACACCACCCCCAATAAAAAGCCCTTGGTCATGGGATATTAATGTGGCCTTGACAAAGCTTATCAAAGTTCTTTTAGAACCACTTATTTCCTATGAGCTCAAGTTCTTTACATGCAGTCATTTTGTGGTGGCAATGACTTTGGTCTAATGACCAAGTTATACCAGTCTTTCCTGAGATAAAGTGGTGCTGCAGAGTTAGTGTTCTCTCCAGTGTGGTATTGGAGTTCCACACTAACGATCCTATTGGCCTGCCAACGTTCTTCCCACACCTGCCTGCCCATTCCAGAGAGACCTTTCTCCATATGCTTGATCTTAAAAGATCCCTGGGAGGACTAAAACCATTAGAAAATCAACACAATTTTTGCTTCATTTGATACCAACACCATAGAGGATCATGTCTTAGTGGATGCCTAATTGCATTTCATACTGGTGTGAAGTCTCCTGCCTCACCCATCCTGCCCTGAGCCCCCGCCGCATCCCTCCTGCACCCCAATCCCCTGCGCTGAGCCACCTCCTGCACTCCGCACCCCCTCCTGCACCCCTGCCTTGAGCCCCTTCCTGCACCTCAACCCCTTGCCCTGAGCCCCTTCCTGCACACCGTACCCCCTCCCACAACCTAACCCCCTGCTCCAGCCCTACATTGATGGCTTTGCATACAATTTTCCCACCAGATGTGGCCCTTAGGCCAAAAAGTCCCCCTCCCCACCCCCCTGCAATAAGGTAAGGGAGGTTAAACTCTCACCACCCACCCCACCAAAAAAGTTTTGTTTTGTTATAGGATGTCCCTTACTTTGTTAGATAATTTATACTTATGATTATATATTATAATGTAGGCATTTTGAGAGGTATCTAAATTCATACTTTCCTCTTTGTCTGCCCTATTGGCATTGGTCATGTTGGTTTTGCTCATTTGCTTACATTTCCTTTTGGATATCTCATTTCCGTGTGGATATTTCTTAGTCTGCCAGAATGTGAATCCTGGACTTACTGAGCGTACCTTATAATTTTGCTTCTCTGAAGATATTATCTAGGTGAATTCTCTCACCACAAACACCTCATCCCATAATTCTGAGAGGTACTTTTTTATACCATTTTTCTCTGGTAGTATCTTTTGCTAGTTGATCATCTTTTCTTTCTGGGAGCATTATCTCCTGCTCAGTTGAAGGAACTACTTGGAATATTCAGGAAGTCAGCCTGAGCCAGTGATCCACCCTGGTAATGCTGCCCTTGATGGTCAAAACTGTCTTAAGAGCTAGGGAGAGTTCTTCTAGCCTTGCACTAAGGAACTAAGGCCCAGGAGCAAGAGTTCTGTTAGAGATCCTCTTTGGAGAAACAGATTTACAAGGTAAGCAACTCTTTTTTGATAGAAGGAAAATGGACTAGAATAGGAGCTTGAAGTATGAGTGTGCCCCCTCCTTACTCATCATACTTATTGAAGTGTGAATCTCTTTGTCTCCATTCCTCCCACAACAACTGGTTATACAATATATGGAATATCAGACTTATTGTTTTCTAAATAAAGTGAAGAACTTAAAACCAAGAAAAAAGAGAAACAGACATTTGGACAACTGAAACCAAGATTGGCAATTCATCAGTTGTATGTCCATTCATAATGTATAGTAGTATGGGATGTGATTTATTTAGTTGAATATCTGTTGATACATTTGATATTATGGTTTATAACTCACCTGGCATTTGACAAATGTGAAGAAGGTGACTTATGCTAAGAGAAATTAGAACTAAAAGGTTAATGCACTTGTTGCAATGTTTTGGAAATGTATATTGCTATGTTGATTTGTATAAAATGGGTGTTTATGACTTTCATAAAAAAATACACTTAAAGGAAGAATAGCCTCATTTGTGTTGGCTCCAAAGCCAAGCTGCTAAAAACTCTTCGTAGTGTTTAGTATCTGTCTTCAAACACTGTCTTAGGGCGTATCTTCACTAGCAACGTTAAAGCGCTGCCACGGTAGAGCTTTAACGTGGCTGTGTAGTTGCAGCACCAGTGCTGGGAGAACGCTCTCCCAGCGCTATAACCCCCCCCCCCCATCTCCACAAGGGGAGTAGCTCTCCCAGCGCTGGGGGTGCGGCTCCCAGCGCTGGTGCACTGGCTACACTTCCACTTTACAGCGCTGAAACTTGCAGTGCTCAGGGGGATGTTTTTTCACACCTCTCTATATTTTATTGCTCAAAAAATTTGGAGAAATAAACCCGAGCAGCGCTGTAAAGTGGCAGTGTAGTCAAGGCCTTAGTGTGTTTTTTTGACTAACTACTAGTAACTAATTGTAACTGCAACATTGCTCTCTTGATGTAACATTCAGGACAGTGATGCTGTAAAGAGTAGAGGGCTAAAAAAGCTGAACGGTTCATTCTTTATCTTGGGCTTGTACCTAAAATTCATTCTATATCAAATACACAGATGTCTTATACTTTGGAAATGAAAATCCTGTACAGTCCCAAGTGAAAAGCTGAATGTGGGTGAGTTTATAGATGTGGTAGGTCGAAGACACACACAAGAAAGAAACAAAACTTCAGAATAAACTTGGGAGTGAAAATCAGATTCGTATTAAATAGTAAAAATCTTCATTAACACAGAGTTAAGGTTGTTCAGTGATAGCTTCCAGAACATCAAGTTCAGCAAAACTCAAACTTGTGAAAACAAGGAAATACAAAGTTAAGGTAAATGCCCATGCAACTGTAACTCTTCCCCTCTGGAGCTGGAAAGAGCCCTTGGCAATTGTCTACATGTTTTAGGTATAGAGGTACTGAAGAGTGGAAGCAATAGGTCGGGCCGATTGGTAGAGGTGCGTTTGTGATATAAGGAGATCTGTGGATTTGTTTGAGGAATGCAGAGGTGTGATTTTGATATGAGTGTATCTGGCTCTGTGCCCCCATGCGTAGGATCAAATGAAAGAGGCGAATGTGTAACTTGAGGTTCCAGTCTGCATCATTTCAATAGAGAGTTGTGTAGGGTATGTCAGTAGCAGGGTGCTGGGGTTGACTTTTCATGGGTATGGTCAATAGTAAGAAGGGATATGAGAGCAGTCTGTGGATTTAATGATGGGTAAGGGAAGGTATAGGTTTAGGTGGTTTAAAAGGGTGTTAAGTGGTCATTAAATTTTACAGGAGTCAACCAGTTAGAGTTGAACTTTGAACGGAAACATGGTCTTAATCTTAACTATAGCATAAGTGACCCACTGCTTTTTTGTTCTAGTCTGCCTAGCCCCACCTTCCTAGTTTGACAAACTTCACTTCTAAAAATAAGATTCCATTCCATCTGAATAAGATCCACACATTCTACCTCCCGATTCTGGAAGGTACAGGTTACTGTTCACTTCATTATTCTACCATATCAAACTTCAGTTTTCTTCCATGTATGCATATATACAAATCACTAACTATGTACAAAGGTTAGATACAATGAACAACATTATTCTGAAGTATAGTGCTTAATTCTGCATCAAATTATTCATCAGAAACTTCAATAATTTTCATAGAGATTAAGTTTCAATTTGTCACATTTTTATTATATTCTCTTTAATAATGTGCTGCCATTTTTCTTTTAGGGTTGAATCCCTCCAGATTCCGAATAGGTGACCAAGAGTTTGATTCATTACCATCTTTACTGGAATTCTACAAAATACATTATTTGGACACTACAACCTTGATAGAACCTGTTTCCAAATCCAAGCAGAATAGTGGAGTTATACTGAGGCAGGAAGAAGCTGAATATGTGCGAGCTCTCTTTGACTTTAATGGAAATGATGAGGAAGATCTTCCATTTAAGAAAGGAGACATACTGAGAATCCGGGATAAGCCTGAAGAGCAATGGTGGAATGCAGAAGACAGCGATGGAAAGAGGGGAATGATACCTGTTCCTTACGTGGAGAAGTATAGACCTTCCTCTGCTTCAGTATCTACTCTGATTGGAGGTAACCAGGATAGTTCCCACCCACAGCCACTGGGTGGGCCGGAGCCAGGGCCCTATGCCCAACCCAGCATCAACACTCCGCTCCCTAACCTTCAGAATGGCCCTATTTATGCCCGGGTTATCCAGAAGCGAGTCCCTAATGCCTACGACAAGACAGCCTTGGCTTTGGAGGTACATAATGGGCAAAAATTAGAAAGAAGAGATTTGTTCAAGGGATTTCCCTTTCAAACACATAGCCTTTGTAGGAATGCTGAGAGGGAGAAAGCATTTTAATATTACTCTTGATGTAAAACTAATAACTAGTTTAATGTTTTGGATGGAGACTTTATTTGAAATCTATTATAAATGACTAGAGAAGGTTCTGATAATTTATATTATAAAATGTTTAGGGTATTATATTCGCTGAACAAATAACCTATTTCACTTCAAGCATTACTAATATAGCAAGGCTTCCCCATCCACATTCTTATTCACTTCTTCATGCTTCTGAGTTTTTTTCCCCAATAACAAAGTTAAGAGTTCATAAACTGGTTAGTTTGGATACTTGGGCACAGACTCTTTCCATTCCTAAGTAGGGATGCTGACTTCTCTCCCACACCTCCAGTTTAATAATACAAATGGTTCTATGGCAGGATTTATGTATGAGCTCCTTTAATAACACACTAAGATGGTGCTGATCATGCATGTGGTTTATCTAGAACATCACACACTGAAATAAGAGCACCTTTTAGGTGATTGCTTTTTCAGTACCTCCCTGTGTTTCATGTAGTCCTGGTAACTCTACATGTGGAAAGCATTGGGACGAGTGGATGCAGGATGCTTCTTGATGCATCACCACTTTTCCTTAAAGGGATTAATCATTTTTTGATTGTACATTCAAATAGTCATACATGAATTCTTTTCTTTTTTCCTTTAAAATGAAATGCCAAGGAAATAGGAGTACTGTATAGACACACTTCAACTAGATATCCTTAAAGTGAAGCTTGAGGGAATTGGGAGCAGGGGCTTCTCAGTGGTAGGCTCTCCTCTCAGGATGGCATGTAAAATGCATCTCTTTATCCAGGCTTTCCTTTAACTACAGTCTCTGGATTTTCTTTATTTAATCTGCTTCCTGTTGTCCACCATCTTGGATTCTTTCAGGGAAACTGAGACAGTTTCTGTGAGGAGGCACAGAGGAAGCGCTCCCAATTCTTGTGATATTTAGTTTTGTCTTGCATGGTATAAAATGTACCTAAATACCTCAGTGATGTGGACACTATACATAATTACAACATTATGAATAATGTTGTCATAGCAACAGTAGAAGTAATGTGGTGTTAATCAGATTATAGATGCATAACCTGGAAAATCCAAAACTTTTTTTCCTAAAGATATTGTAACTTGGCCAGGGTGCACGCATGTAACTTGTTACTATATATGTTGTTGCATTTATGCTTTAAAGGTGAAATGGAAAGCTAAAATAAAAATTTAAGTAAATCAAGAAATGTGCCTAGAATTAACCCACAAACAATTTTTCCAGGGTTTGAGGGACACTCAGCACATAGTTTTTAATTTTTAGAATTTCACAAAGCCCTAAAATTGTTTACTTTTCTGGGTTTACTGGAGACGGGCCCAGAATGATGGATTCTGGGATATCATAGGTACCAGATGTACAAAAGCTCCGATATTGATGTTGTGGCATCTCTAGCAAACCAAAAAGAGCAGGTTTCAGAGTAACAGCCATGTTAGTCTGTATTCGCAAAAAGAAAAGGAGTACTTGTGGCACCTTAGAGACTAACCAATTTATTTGAGCATGAGCTTTCGTGAGCTACAGCTCACTTCATCGGATGCATACCATGGAAACTGCAGCAGACTTCCACGGTATGCATCCGATGAAGTGAGCTGTAGCTCACGAAAGCTCATGCTCAAATAAATTGGTTAGTCTCTAAGGTGCCACAAGTACTCCTTTTCTTTTTGCAAAAAGAGCAGGTTTTTTTTCCCCCCCCCGCAAAGTTCAGTGAAATTTTAAATTATGTGTTGAGTGACACCATACCCTCCAATATCTCTAGCAGCCTTATTAGTGGGTACAGTTGTCACACATTTCTGGACTTCCCGCTTTAGGTTTAGTTCACATTTAAGGGAAAATTCCAGTGCAAAATTAAAGCTTATAAGTAAACTTTAATTATAAAGAATTAAGCTCTGAAGAAAATGTATGTTAAAATTAAATGTACATTAACAGAAAGCTGCTGTGTTGATTGGTGATACAAAGTGGGATTGAAAGTATTTATTTTCCCTTAGAAAGCACTGGAAATGTAGGTTGTCTTGTGCAGTCCTTTTATAAGGGGCAAATTACATGCAGGTGCCTTGGGCAGGTCTTCCAGTAGTAGAGTTCATGGGATTGGACACTCATCCCTTCATGATAAATGACCTATCAGCCTGCCAGAGTTTGTAGGGTCTCCATGGAGACCTTTTCTGCCCTGTTCCAAATGAATTTAGAGAATACCACTGGCACAGGGGTTCTTAAACTTCATTGCACCGCGACCCCCTTATGATAACAAAAATTACTACATGACCCCAGGAGGGGGGATCAAAGCCTGAGCCCGCCCGAGCCCCACTGCCTTGGGCGGGGGCAGTGGGGGAAGCTGAAGCCCAAGGACTTCAGCCTCAGGCATGGGGGAGCATGTAACCTAAGCCCCACCACCTGGAGCTGAAGCCTTTGGACTTTGGCTTTGGCCCTGGGTGGTGGGGCTCCAGCTTTGGCTTTGGCTAACACCAAAGCCCTGGCAACCCCATTAAAACGGGGTTTCGACCCACTTTGGGGTCCAGACCTAAAGTTTGAGAACTGCTGAAATCTTCTTTCCTAACTAAAGCCATGAAGTTGTAGTGTCACAGGGTCTGCTCACCACTAGTGTGCCTCCTCCAGTTCACTCTGGGGATTAGCTGATTTCAGGTCCAATGCCTCTTTTCCATCTCTCACCACATACCCTGCCTTCTCTTCCTGGCTCTCAGCAAGGCAAGATGCTTTGTGGTCGTAGCTGAGCCCTCTGGCCAAGTCAGATGTGTCCTCCCCTTCCGGTATCAAAGTCTCTTTGTGTGAACGGGCTCAGGCAGTCTTCCCATTCACTGCCCAGCCAGTGCCACTTCCCCAGTAGCTGGTAGGGGAACTTGGGCCTACCCCCCTACTCCAAGTTCCAGCTCAGGGTTCCTCTAATCACCAGCCAAGGTCTGTTCCATTCTGGACCTTACTGCCTCTTCCCTGGACCTTTCCTAACCTTCTGACTCCCCCTTCTCTGGGTTTGTTAGCTTCAAAGCTCCTTCCTCCCACGGAGTGACTGTAGGGTACTTCCCTGCAGCCTCCTTCTGCTGCCAACTTCCCATCTTTATAAACCCAGCCCAGCTCGTTCCTCCTCAGCTGGGCTCCCTTATTATTCAGTCAAGGCAGGAGTGCTGGAACAATTTGTATACTGGGGGTGCTGAAAGCCATTGAACCAAACTGTCAACCCTGTATACAATGAAAACTACTTCAAGCCAGGGGGTGCAGCAGCACCCCCAGTTCCAGCATCTATGAGTCAGGGGATTACTAAGACACCTGATTACCCTCAGCTGTGGCCTGTGTGGTTAATTGACCCCCTTTTTATCCTACATTATCCCCTTCCAGGCAAGCATGGGTGAACACCCCATAACACCCTAGAGACTCAGCTGTTTAAAATAGGGGGTGGGGATTGCACTGATTGTGCTTGACAAGTTAAGGATTTAACTAAGATTGGATTCCCTTTTTCATAGAATCCTAGAAATGTAGAGCTGGAAGGGATCTCCAGAGATCATCTAGTCTGCGCACATGCTGAGCCAGGACCAAGTATACCTAGACCATCCCTGACAGGGGTTTTTCTAACTTGTTCTTAAAAACTTTGAATGGTGGGAATTGCACAACCTCCCTTGGTAACCTATTCCAGTGATTAACTATCCTCATATTTAGAAAGCTTTTCCTAATATCTGATCTAAATTTTCATTGCTGCAAATTAAGCCTGTTACTTGTTCTCCTACTACCTTTCAGTGGACATGGAGAACAATTAATCACTGTCCTCTTTATAGCAGCCCTTGACATATTTGAAGACTTGTCCTTCTTCGGTTGTCTTTTCTCAAGATTAACATGAGTCCATTTTTTTAACCTTTCCTCATAGGTCAGGTTTTTTAAACCTTTGATCATATTTGTAGTTCTCCTCTAGACTCTCTCCAGTTTCTCCTTTCCTCAAACATAGCACCTAAAACTGGACACAGTACCCAATCGGAGGCCTCACCTGTGCTGAGTATAGTAGGACAATTACCTCCTATGTCTTACATACAACACTTTTGTTAATACACCCCAGAATTTTCATCTAATTGTTGGCTCATATTCAATTTGTAATCCACTATAACCCCTAGATCCTTTTCAGCAATACAGTTGCCTAGCCAGTTATTCCCTGTTTTGTATTTGTGCATAAATTTTTTACTTCCTCATTGTAGTACTTTGCACTTATCTATACTGAATATCATAGTGTTGATTTCAGACCAGTTCTCCAATTTGTCATGGTCATTTTGAATTCTAATCCTGTCCTCCAAAGTACTTCCAAGTTCCAACCTCTCCCAGCTTGGTGTCATCGGCAAATTTTATAAGCATATTCTCACTCCATTATCTAAGTCACTAATGAGAATACTGAATAGTACTGGACCCAGGACAAACCCCTGTGGGATCCCACTGGGTGGATCCTCCCAGTTTGACAGCAAATCATTGATAACTATTTTTTGAATGTTTTTTCAATCAGTTGTGCACCCATTTTATAGTACCTTCATCTAGTTTGCTTATTTTATTTACATTTGAACTACCATGTATGTAGGGCTTAAAATTTTTGTGAAACATCTACTAGCCCAAGGGCTGAGCCTACCGAGGATGCAAAATACCAATTCTGCCATGTCCCCCACAATTTAAAGAAATACAAATAGTTGTATGGTTCTTGTTCTTTCTCTAGTATTGGCAATTCTGATTTTTAAAAAATTGCCCTTACATTTCTCTTCTCCCTTCCTGGCTTCACTCCACATTTTTTTTGTCTCAAATAGATCACTGTGTATCTTACTGAGTTGTTTCCACTGTGTGTTTCGTTTCCCTATACCCTGTGCACTCTACCTCCTCCCAAATATTAGTCTTGATCTCTTCC